ATCAAGTAAAATGGAAGCAGAAACCGTTTTCAGATCTTCCATCCAGTGAAAAGCCAAAATGGGGCACCCGTATATTGCCGCCACGTGCCCTCAAGAATCCCCGACGAACCACAAGCTCCAAGAAAAACTACAAAGAGGGTACATAAAACTGCGAAAACCCACCTACCCAGAAATCGATTCGTCCCTAATTCAATGCCCTACGCTTCAATTCTCGATCCCCATTCACAAATCTGCCATCTTTGCAGCCAGAAAAATCTCAGAGTATCAATGCAACAGCAACCATCTCCATCGATTTTCGAAACTTAATTCTCTGAATCCAGTTCGTTCGTTGTATTTGCATCCGCATTGATAAACAGAAACAATCAGAAGACAAATTTTTGTAATATTTATATCAAAGAACTTCAACATCAACATCTGATCGACAGATTTATTTTATTTTATTTTATTTTTAAAAAAAATTCTGTACTTTTCTTCGCTTTTTTTTATTTTATGATTTTTTCTTGTGGCAGAGACAAAGGCGGCTCCGATTAACGTGGTTGCAAATATAATGAGCGTCTATTTTTCTCTGTGTTAGCGAGAAACGACGTCGCTTTCGCGACAAAAGAACCACAGGCCCAGAAAAGTGAAATACCGAGAGTGCCCTCACGTGTGTTCCTCGGGAAACATAGATTTTGTGCGCATGTTACGTTTGACAGGACGCCCGTGTGCAGTTTGGTAATTTTAATGTAGCTGTCCAAAGGACGAGCAATTATCTGCTTTGTCTCCAATCCACAGTATCCAAATGGATATTTATTGACAAAAACGCGTCAGCAGCCCATTGACATATGCACTCAACAAACATGCTAATTTTAAGGGCAAGAAATACAAAATTCTATTAAATTTCTATATGTTTTTTCCAATTTAATTGTTTTGATGCTTCTTTTGCGTGATGTTTATCCATTTTTTAAACTTTTGATTTGGGAAAGAAAGCTGTATTTGGAAGCTGTAATCTTATATTTTATAGGAATTATTGGCATGAATATTTTTTTCTATTCACCGTCTAAAAATTATTTATCTTATAATGCGTAATTTAAAATCTTGACGCTCACTTGTTGATGAATGTTCAAATAAATATATGGGTACATAAAGAAAGTTGCAGGAAGAATCTTTGTTATTGGCAGATCCAATCTTGAGAATTTAGAGGTCCTATGCAAGCCTTTGAAGTAAGGCCCTAAAATTCTCTGACCCTCAACTCTTTGTAATTCTTTAGTATTATAGTCTAATGGTGTTTCTCTTCCATTGTGATGCAATATCGTTTGTTGAAAAAAATACATCAAAAAGTTGATTTCTACTTCAAATATTATTAAAATTAATATAAAAAAGAAGAATATAAAAACATTACTTAAATATTACACGTCTCTCATTTTGAGACACAAATGTACTAATTAGGTTTACATAACCTGATTTTCCAACTAATTCTTTTTTAATTGATAAAATAGCTAATTCATTCAATCTTTCTTGTGACATATTCAAAGAAAGATTTGATCAACCTTTAATTTTGAAAAACTTCTTTTGCAGAGGCAAGTACTTGCAAAATTATAAAGCAAAGACCCAAAGTATGTAAACTTCTTATTTGAACATATACGAAATTTGTAATATTAATTTATAAAAAAAAATGTCACTTAGTACTACGAGTCTAGTGGTATTCCTCTTCACTAGTAAGTGAGAGATCTTAGGTTCGATTATTGACAAAGGTGAATTTGAATCAAATTATCGCTAGCTCATTGTAAGACTATTTCATCCTCTTCCGTTTAATGTAAATAATATCGATGGTCCAAAACAAAAAAACAAAAAAAGACCCCTCCAGAATGGGGCTCTAGTCGGGCCTCTTACTCCGGTTACCCTCAATGCTGACACTGGTTATTAGACCGACAGTTTGAGTAGAAATAGAAAGTATGATATTAGGGTAAACAACCCTGATCACACAATTTCCTAATTTTTAATTAGCAGCTCCACAGCTGACACACTACTCAAAGCCATGAAGAACACAACATTCAGATATTATTTATTATGATTAGTTGTTCCTAATTACAGATGCATAATCTAAATCTATCACTATCATACCTTTTAATTTATATTTTCTTCTTGAATATAATTGTTGAGAATAATTTGTGTATGAAACCGTGTCAAATTGGAATTAGAGGAGTATAGATTTATGTTTATATCCAAAAGACTTCCCAAAAATAAACACGAACTCAACTACTATTGAAGCATTCGTCAAGTAGCTCTTAGTTTAGTAGTGTATCTCTTCTCAATCTTGGAAGAGAATTGTACTTCTCTTTTTTATGTTCCAATTGGAAATAGATTCTAAATTTACCAGAGAATCCAAGTTTGAACTTTCAACTTGATTGGTGGAAGCTTAGGGGAGTGTGGTGTATTAATATTTATATGGATTTTTCTTGAGTTTTTAAAGTGATAGAATTTTACTATTATAAACTCCTTAATTTCATAGACTTTTAATGATATACTTTTATGGAAAAGAAAAGAGTTAAACGGTGGGTCTTCTCCACCTGTGACGATGCCGCATTTATAAAATACGCCTATTGCAAAACTAAGACGCCATGGATCTAGGTTGAATTTCGAACTGGTAGTATTTGTTTATGCCAACATAATGCATGCATCCATGCAAATTGCTTATATCGAATCTTTTTCACTAGTATGGAGGAAGAAGTTTCTTGTCACCACAATAAAAGTGAGAAATAACGACCCTAATTAGTGACTATTTTGGTAGCTATTGCTAGGGTAACAATGATGTTGTCAATGAAAAACTGGCAACAAAAATGATGACTAATGCATTAAAATACATATATTTTATTAATTTTTGTCACCATTTTCTCATTCTCACCATTATTGCTCTCCAAACAACAATTATCAAAATAGTTACTAATTAGAGTAGTAGTTGCTCACTTTTGCGCAGGGCGCTACGCAAAGAGGAGAAACAACCGAGTAGGCATGTCCGTATGTGCAAGTAACAAAGGGGCCAAGGGGGTTGAAGCCCAAAACTAGTAAAAAACAATGCATCCTCAACCCATTGCACTTAGCCCACTTTGAGACCCAAATTTATTTTATATGTTAATGAGCCCATATTTTAGTAGGCCATTGCTTAATAGCACAATTACTATAACACAATGTTATAAAAGGTGGCCGCTTAGGCGTTAGGCGACAGACCGGCCGCTACGATTAATTTCGAATCGATTATGAAATCGGCAAGCTTATCATGCAGCTGCTTGGGCTGGGTTGGGTGGGGTTAGGCGGGGCTAGGTAGGATGAGGCGGAGCAAGGGGGGGGTATGCGCGGGGCTGGGCAAGGCCATGTGAAGGAGAGCCGGAATTTGGAAATTTTTAGATGTAGAGTCGACGGACGGGCACAAAATCGTGGAGAAGATGATGAGTTGGCTCTTTATATAATGCTTGACGTCGTCGTTTTATGCTTCCTTCTTTTGCTGATTTTTTTTTCATTATTTAAATTTTTTTTTTCCCTCACTTAAGAGGCCCACTATCTTCCTCTGTTAACTTTTGTTTTTCTTATCCTTTTAAGGCCCCACCTGTTTTCCACCAGACCACTAACCTAAAACTCCCACCTCATATAATATCTATAAATATGTTTTTATTTATTTATAAAGATTTATTATATATAAGTATATGTTGTTATTTATTTTGTACCATATTACTGTATATGTATATATAATGTAGTAATTTAATTAATTTATATGAAATTTATTCAAATCTACCTAGTTTGCTTAGTCTGCCTAATCTACTTAGTGCCCACCGTCTAACTAGTGCCTAACGTCTTTTAGAACCATGTTATAACATTGTTCTCAAATAACATAATAACAATTTTTATTTTCTCACACATCTCTTTTTATTTATGGTCATCGGATTGAATATCAACAACCATGTTAAAGCAAGAGGGTGTAAGAGGCTAAAAGATGTGTGAAAATCACTTCCGTATATTGTATCGATAAGAAAATATTCAACCTTGACAACATATTGATGCTTTATTTACGACATCTAAAAGATTATTTGAAACTGTTTGTCATCAATATAATTGGACATTATCGATAGCATTGACAACATATGAAGATTAGTTATATAATATGACAATATATAATGACAATTTTAATTGCATACCGAGATGATATCTTTACAATAATGAGACTATTTGCAACATCCTTTGCTACAAGAATTGTGTTATTTGGTAAACTAAAACATGCAAAAAACAAAACCACTGTGTAATGCCTTAAACTTTGGCAAGCGAATTTCCTTTCTATCAAGCAAATAAGAAAGTCAATGTAACCAATGGTTCACTTCACTTCCACAAAAATGAAGGCATAATTAAATAGTTTATAATTATCAGCTAAGCCAGATTATATTTATTATCATATACTAAAATCTAAACTCTCGGTTACTGTTCATTAACAGTGAACGGGCAAAAATGCCCTCCCTTGTTTACGCTAATCTCGGTTTTGCCCTTTCTTCCCACACCGTTTTAGTATCTCGACCCACCTTTTCTCTGGATGCTTCCCCCATCGTTTCAGACTGTAGGCCCACCTTTTCTTTGCTTTGACTCCTACTCTCCCTGTTTCCCTCCTCGCCTCACTCTTCTATGCACCAAGTAGCTTGATTTAGTGCTTCACCATTTCTCTTCAAATCAAGATCTCCATTTCTCTCATATAAAGGTTTGATTCAATTCCCTTGAAATCTCATGGGGAGATGTGAGATTTGTGGATACTTAAAATACACTAGGAAATCTCTCCAATTCCCTCTAATTCCTCAACTTTCTCAAATTCTTTAAAATCAATTTCTAATTGAATACATCTGGAATGTCATAATTTTTTTTAAATCCTAATTGAATACATCCAGATTTCTAAGGATTTTAATAAACTATCTTAAAATTATAATTGAATACACCTTGAATTTCAGAAAATCACTTAAAATCCTAATTTAATACCTCTAGATTCATTAAAAGAATTAAAATCCCTCAAAATCCCAATTGAATACACCCCCAAAATCGTTAATTAATCTTTTTCTTTTTTTTTTTCCGTGAAATATTTGGGAAATCGGTCCAGAAAAGGATCGAATCGCATTAATTAGCTGATTTTCCATCTCATCCGATTGTAAATTGGTTTAATTGAACTTTAATTTCATTGTTCAAAGCTCCTAGCTTTCGGTTTCGTGGGAAATTTTCCTATCTAGTTGAAAAATAGGCGTTCATTGATAATCTGGGTGAGGAGCACATATGGGTTCCATTGTTTGGTAGCCGAGAAAACGTAGGAAAATAATTCCTAATAAAATTCTGTGACTTTTTGCTTTTGTGTCCAATAAATTGAAATCTTTGGCTCAGCCTAGCTGTGTATTAGTTAGGTTCAGTTGCATGGATTTTGTTTTTATGATCAGCAAACAATTTGAGATTGAATTTTTTGTATTTTTTCATTGCGTAGTTATGGTAGCACTTATTACTAGATGGACTCTAAGATCTTGGATCGAACTAATGGTGCACATCCCTTCAATTTTTTGTTTATATTGTAGAGTAGATGTATTCGATCCTCGGTTGTTCACAGCATAACTTGCTGAGTGCTTTTGTAGTTTAGCTCTACTAATAAGAAGTGTCATTGCAAGTGTGAGATTGCTTTCACTTTGCGATACACTGATTTCCTAAATTGTTGTCCAAATATGTGTAATGGTTGATTATGGCTCGCATATGTTGTTCTTCGATTAGTAGTCAGGGTTGTTAATTTCTCTGCTTTTTCGGTTTGATTCTGATATTTTTTTTTGGGTTTTTGGTTGGTTTGAATGGTGTTCGATAACTTGGTGTTTCCTGTTGTGTTGCAAAGGATCTTAGCTTAGGTGGTAGCAAGTTTTTGTGAAAATTAAATATAAGAAATAATCATTAATTTCATAAAACTTGCATTGATCGTCTAATAATAATTGCTAAAACACCCTTTAAACGTATTACTTATAATTGATGATGTGAAAAAGGTAAGAAGTTTGACAACCATGGAGAGTGGAAGATTGATTTGGCATCTGAGCACGAAAGGTAGTCCCTTTAGAATTATTCTACTGGTTTTTTTTATTATGCGTACTGATTAAATAGAGGTTATCGATTCATTGTTCTGATTTTGTCCAGATACGTGCGGAGGTACTATTTCAAAAGCTTATTACCGTTTACAACTATCCTAAAGGGATCGAAGCATTCTACAGAAAACTTAACGATAGTTTAAAGACAGTGACTGCTATAGCTGTCTTGGTACCAGAGGCGGATATTATACTTTGAACTTTGAACCGTTGAGTTCACTGCTCTGTTTTATACTTGAGCATTGTGTATCTTTTGATTACCTTATACGGTTTTCTTATATTTCAGGTCCAGAGTTGATTGAAGAATTACAAAGAAGGATTACAATATTCAACACAAATATGTCTTATTATTATTTTGCTGTTATCTGTGAGGATTGTTTTTTACTACTTTCGTAATGTTTTGCAATATACATAGATGAAAGATTTCATATCACCTACCTGCCTCCAACCATGTAAGCCAATGTTCTTCATTTCATTAAAATGACCTACGACAACATCAATTGTTTTTCTTCTTTGTTGTCATAAAAATTGAATTCAATGTCTTTCATTCAATTGATTGTTTCGTTATCTATACTTTCATCTGTTTAGTTGCTGGAAAAATCTTGGCAAACAAAAGAACTCAATTTCAGTGCTATTGTTGTGATGAATACTTATTTTAACGTGCTTATCAAATTTTGGATACTTTATGAATTTAAGATCTTCAGTTTTAGTATTTTTTATGAAATTGTAATGAATTTGCAAATTTGTCAACTATATCTTACATTCATGGTTTCATATTCACCTTACTTATAACTATTGAATTTTGTTTTTTGACTGAATGAATTTTTATAGTTTCCACAATCTACAGTTGCATTGCCTTTGATGGATAAAACACAAAGGACCCAGCTACTCTTACACAGCATCTTTAGCATCGTAAGTTAAAATTCCATATCATTTTTTTGCTTCACAGAATTCATTATGTTAATAGCATACCAATTACGTGATACCAATTGTTATCTTAGCAGTTTCTAACAATTGGCAAAACATGCATAAATATGTGCAAGTTTGAATTATACATACAAAACTTTCATATATTACACTCGTTTGCTAATTTTTATTATACGATCAATCATTCAGATGTAATGCTACTCATAGAGTGATTCAAAGAATTCTAAGAGCTTCATTCACCCAATTCACGTTCCTCATGTAACAATTCTTTCAAAAACCTCAAACATCTTTCAGTGTAGATAACATTAACAATCCGTAACAATATATTATAACTTTGAAACGTATTTTTCCATACGATTTCTAATCCCGCATTAACGCGCGGGCACTATTTCTAATTAGTCCTATGCAGCCATGCTAGTCTCAAGCAATCAATCCCTATTCACATCAAGGCTGACAAATTGAATCGGCCGTAACCTCGAAAACAGTCGTTGCTTTCTCATCATATGTCATCTTAATCTTTTAATTACTGGATTTTTTTCTCCAGTACATGGTATAAATTTTATTAAATTCAAATAGAAACGTTCAGAGCAACTCCACCAATTCTCCAATTGATTAGACAATTGGGTTGAATTGCTCCTGGTCCCTAAAAAAAGCCCTCCACCAGTCCACAAAAGAAGAGGCAATCCATTCGGCTGCTCTTTCAACTGAAGCCTAATCCGAGCTATTGGACTTTCAATGGTGAAAAAAATTGTCTTTTCATCTGTAGCTGCCACATGGCAAGATCTTGGGCATCCAATAATAATAACTTTAAAAATACCAAAAAATACCCAAAATTTTTTTCTATAAATACCCAATCATATTATTTATTCTCAACACCACACCACAACTCAGTACTTATTTTTACTACAATCTCTTATATTTGTTTTCTACTCCAAATCTTTTTGTTACCAAGAAATATGAAAGAAAAGTCAAACTGGTCGACTGGGGAAGATGTTGCTATGCTTCAGGCTTGGGTGCTTGTTACTCATGACCTGATCATGGGAAATGAGATAAGGGTGCAACACATGCGAAGTAAGATTCATGCACAATTTCTTGAGAAGATTTAAGGCACATCCGGACTGAACAATCTATGCCAAATAGGTACATACATCTGCATAAAGATTTGAAAGCTTGGCAAGAAGCCCTTGAAAAGCGGAAGGAATTTATTGAAGTAGCCTTAATCTAGCCGATGTGGTAATATTATTTTTTTATTATTAACTTAAAAATGTAATTAATACGTTATTTTTTTTACTTTTCTTGCATAAATCTTTATGTTGTTTCACAATTTTGTATAGCAATTACAAGCTCAAACGTGGTTCAATTTTGATAATAAGAAATCATTAACAAGGCACATATGTTAACATTATGAAATATACTTTGAAGTACAAAGTTCGGCCTGTTAGTCCACAAGTTTAGTTGAATGAGACTCCATTGCACAAATCAACTACTGAATCGACATTGGAGGGTCCTAAATGAATTGGTAGCACAAACTGAAAAAATCTTGAGGCCTATTGGTAAGAATGCTGCTAAGAAAAAAGAATGCAAGAGGGAGTGCTTCGAATAATGATTATTCAAAATTAGATAACGAATTGGCTCGCCAACATGCACTGAATATGGAACGAGACAGGTTAACATAGCAAGATAAGACTAGAGATGAAGCAAAAGTGAGAGAAAATGAGTTGAATAGGCAAGAAAGGCAAGAGGAGAAAGATTGGTAGATCATGTCTCAACACCTCGACGATGAATCCCCTAACTCAAAATGTTTTTGGAGAAGTAAAAAAATCACGTCATGAGATGAAGATTTTCCACGGAAGATGAGGAAGGTCCATACTCTTAAGAGAAGATGGACTGAGAAGAAGATTTATCCTCCTGTTTAAAATTAATTATATTTGTTGTAATGTTGTGATGTTCCCTTGTATTTGAAATAATTTAATGGAATTAGACTTTATTTGAGAAATAATGACAGGATAAGGCCAAGAAAACATAAATAGTATATAAATATAAATATATATAGACTTTATATAGACTTCATATATAGACTTTATATATATATATATATGAAGAGTAATTGCATTTACTCTTGCCCTCCCTCCTTCCAAACGGATGAACTTGTACAAAGACAATTACTGCATAAAGTGAATAATAACGACAATTTCATTGCCCTTAACCTTGCCTTACCCTTGGCCTCCTAAAACAGATGAAGATGCTCTTAAAGGCTTATTTATAGCTACACTTTTAGCACTCGAATTTAATCTAACTTTGCTCTTATAACTTAAAAATTGTCACTTCACTCAGAAGTCGACTTTAATCTAACTTTAATTTGGGTGCACCAGTCTATAAAATTAGCCTGCTTCTATTTCTATGAATTTGGTCATGGCCATAGGATTTACAAGATTTAGAAATTAAATTTAAAACAATAAAATTTATGAACACAAATGTCCTGCTTCTCTAACTCCTCAACTATTTGGGCTCTCATTGCCACTAGGAGTTGATAAATTTGAGAGAGAAGCCCATTCCAAACTTAAATTTTGGGAGAGAGAAAGAGAATCAAAGATGAAGATTCAGATCTTAGGATTTTCTTCGCTACAGATTCAAACTTCATATTTTTCTTTCCGGTTATATATATTAGATATGGGGTTAGAGAAGTTTTTCATGGAGTTTTTAAAATTTGGTGCTTCTGGGTTTCATCGCTTAATTATTAATTTTTAATGTACTAATGAGGGAACTCCTCTTCAACATTTGATTCAATAAAAGAGAAATGCTAATAGGACTATCTTAAAAGTGAGATTCTTTACAGATTTTCTGTCATCTGATTATCAAATATTATGCAAAAAATATAAGGTAACAGAAAGTTAACGAAGAGTCTCACTTTTTAAGAGTTCTTTAGCATTTCTCTTAATAGAAAGAAAATATAATGGCATACATGGTGGTGGAGAGTCTAGAGAGACTAACTTTTTGAGTGAGTTTCCTAACATTTCTCTTGGTTTTTCCCCCAACGAATGCCCTCAATCGCCACATCCTTTAGTAGCTGGTACCTCCCCCTCTTATTAAAAAATTAGACTAAATGTATGGTTCTTGTGATTGAATATTAAAGTCGGTGCGACATGTTTGTCCCAATACCCAACGCACATTGGAAGTATGTGTTTTCCAAATTAAGAAATTAGTATTATTGAAGGGGCAGGAAAAATCAATGATGAGAATCCAATGGCGCCTGGAACTGGAAATATTAAAGAAGCATGCATGCAGAAATATACTCAACCAAAGAAATGTATTAAGTATTTAACCAGATAAGTCAGCCATCAATTATATATTTTCTTCTCCGCTAGATCTTATCCAATGAACACAATAAAAGAATACCATTAATTGGATGCCAATTTAGACTTAAAAGAATAATCAGAAAGAAACGTTTCAGGCATGTCAAAAAGTAGCAGCCAAACAATTTACAAAGCAAAGTTTAAATGTCAAGTGAAAGAAATTAAATACGTAACAGATAGTAGAGAGATTGTAAATGATGTTAAAAATATAAGAAGGCTGAAAACCTGCAATTAGTTAAGGATATATACAATCTCTTGCACATTGACTGGAAACTTATCAGTTGATGATAGTCTTTGATTTTTAAATTTACTTATAAGCACATACAACGTCTTTATGTATCTATTTATTCTCATTAATGAATATTGTACTTCTAAAATAAGTTTTTGGGTGATACCATAATATAGTCATATGATGTTATAACTAATATATCCATTCAAGGTATTTTACTTACAATACTAGTTAAGTACAAATCCGTCCATACATATTAGGCCATTTTCAACCGAATGGTCCAGAGAGCTGAAAATAGTTCGAAAACCGTCTCCAACCGAGAGCAAGGCTAGAGGGCTCGTGGGCCCCATGGAATCTGAAAGGGCCAAGTGGCCAACCGACTGGCCCAATCCAACTAGCCAGCCCTGGGCTGGGCCAGAAATTCTAGAATTCCTGTTGGTTATATCGAATAGGAATTCTAGGCCAAATTTCAAAATGCAACGACTAGTTGAAGTCAACAAGCCGTTATTTTGTATTTTTTTTTTTACAATTTTATTTTATTATTTAGTTTTTTTACACAATTTTTTTCCTATAACTTCTAATTTTTTCTATAACTTCCTATAACTTCTATTTTACAAAATTTGTTTTATGTTTTTTCTAAATTATATTTTTTTCCCTATAACTTCTATTTTACAAAATTTGTTTCATATTTTTTTTAAATTCTATTTTTTTTCCTATAACTTCCATTTTACAAAATTTGTTTCATATATTTTTTAATTTCTATTTTATTTCCTATAACTTCCCAAGCCATTATACAACATTAAATTAAATTAAGTAACATGAAACAAATTATGTTTGGCTTTCGGTTGGAAACGGTTTTTTGTGACAGGGCTAAAACGAGCCCTATGGCCTTGGCCCTCGGTTGGAGATGGAAGTAAACATGACCTGTACTGTTTATTAAAATATTAATATCTTGGAGGGCCAGAGGGCTAAAACGAGCCCTCTGGCCATCCTTGGGTTGGAGATGGCCTTATAACCCATGAATTATTATATACATAGCCCAGAATGGGTCATACACTATTAATTTATTTCATGCCTTTCTTTGTATTTAACCTTTGTAAGGAGCATGATATAAATGCCATATATAGTAGGTTTCTCCAAGCTGCAGACTCACTTCGCACTCATTTTTGTCAACTTGCAGCCTGCAGGTCGACAAGTACATACAAAATGTGCGGCCAAATCCAACCTTCTAGCTATGAAATTCTAGTGATTATTTCAAACCTACTCCTCAGACAAACTGTCAATACACAAATGGTTTTATATGCAAAAAGTAAGGGTCATGATCAAGATCAACAAACAAAACTTCCCAAGTGATCAGGAAATTCTGATTTTTCCAATAAGTAATTGGTTCGAAACCACCTGTATATGCTGACCTAGCAACTGTGGGCTTGCATTGAAGTAAAAAAGAGTGAACTACATATATATACACACAGATATACATATATATATATATGTATATATATAATATCTGCAAATGAACCATATATGCACTTGGTAGGTTAGCTGATGAGCTGAACTCCATACAGCTACAGTGAAAGCCGCAGATGACATAGGGCAAGCTGCTTAGTTTAGTTAGTGATAAGATTCGTATTGATCATATGATATTAAGACATTTGGGTATTAAAGACTGTAGGATTTACCCTTTTATAAGATTAATAATACTCAATGCGTTTCTTAAGACAGTTGGGTATTAAAAATGATAATACCCTTTTTGGGTGTGTGCTTTAGTAATTTCTTAATAAAAAGTACTCAAATTAATTACAATTAAATTTAGAATTTTTATTTGTCATGCATATCTTCAAACTCAAGCAGCAAACGTCATAATCCAAGTTATCATCAGACATTAATTAGTTTATTTAGTTTCTTCTCACTGTAGCTTCTTTAGTACATGCATGTGCATTTGAGAGCATATAAACCTCTTGGGGCTGAATGTACCATCAAAACATAAACTTCCCTGATGTTCATGATAAAGGTTCACCCTGAGGCACCACTCTCCTCCCCTGCCGAATACTTTACTTCGAAACAAGAAACATTCACCATATGGATGAAGTCACTCATACTGAATGGCAATGGCTGCACGGTCTTTGATTCGAATGGCAAAATTGTGTATCGGGTAGATAACTATGACTGCAAATGTAGAGGAGAAGTTTATCTTATGGATCTGAAAGGAAAAACCTTATTCACCATACAAAGAAAGGTAATTTTATAGTAGCTAGCTAATTATAGCTCCATTGAGATGGAGAGTATACTTAATTTTGCTGACGATACTGGTGCTTTTGGTATGCAGAAATTCAATTTGCTTGGCGTTTGGGAGGGCTACAGATCTACAGATAAAGAGATGAACCCAAAAAAGCCTGGATTTCAAGTAAAAAAAAGTTATAGGTTGTGTAGAGGAAGGTCGCAGTGTAAGGTTGTTGTAGGGCTAGACAAGAACCAACCACACCAATACAGAATAGAAAGCTTGAGCAGCAAGTCATCCTACAAGATACTTGACAAGTTTGGAAGACCAGTTGCAGAGGCAAATTTTGTCTTACCTTTATATTTTGGGAATTGTTCTAGTATTTCAATTGTTCATTGTGTGCTCATATCTCTCTCTCTTTTTCTCTCATTCTTTTTCATCAGTAATGAGCTCATGATATAAATTTTTGAGTACTAATATAACTGAAATAATAGGTTATTGATAAATCATGTTAATACTAATTAATGGTATTTTATTTAACAGGTAAAGAGGAAACAATCAACATGTGGAGTGGTTCTGGGAGAAGATGTTTTGACAATGGTAGTAGAGCCGTTCATAGATCATAGTCTCATCGTAGGGCTTCTTGTTGTGTGTGGCCTCATCAACCGTAAAATGTGAAAGTGTGGAAGCAAGTTAACGACAAAGTCAAGTCAAATCAAGTCGTATTGTCCTATATATTTTTAGATAGTTATATATATATATATATATATATATATATATATCTATATATCTATAGGAAGCAGGATCCTATATATTTTTTTTTTTTATAAAAATGAGAATTAGTTGTGGGGCTCACACCATATCAAATTTTAACGATCCAAACCTGTCTATGTTGTAAGTTGTATCTCATAGATCATCCTTGCAAAATATTAGCCAAATCGGAAATATTTAAGACATCTAATTAGATTCAAAGAAATGAACGAATAGTTTGTTATATAAGAAACAACGAAATTTGATCTTGATAATTAAATAGGCAAATGGTTTCGGATTGAATTGAATTTTTGTAAGGATGATTTATGAATTGAGACTAACAAAATAGACTATTCGGTTCGTTGAAATTCGATGTAGAGTGGGCCCCACATATTATCCCCATTCTTTTTCAAAAAATGGGGATCCCTTTGTATAAAGGGCCTACTTTATATATATATATATATATATATATATATATATATATTGAGGATCTCTTAGTTTTCCACCTTATTTTTACTTTAGAATCAAAAATTGGATTAGGATTGTATTTTGTAAAGGCTTTTTAGTCAAAATGGTCCATGAGATTTGCATAACTCATCATTTTGCTCCTTGAGATTTGAAATCAATAGAATTTGGTCCTTGAGTTTGTCCATCATCAATCATTTTGGTCATTTCTTGAAAAATCTCTATTAAATAAGAATAGAATAACCAAAATACCTTTAATTTTTGTCATATCATTTTGGCCCATTATTTATTAAATTGAGGGAATATTTGTCATTTTGATCCTTATTTAATATAATTTTGCATTGAAGGACCAAAATAATTGATGTTGGATAATCTCATGAACCACTTCTATTGATTTAATCTTAGGGACCAAAGTGATGTGTTATGCAAACCTCAAGGACTATTTTAGCTAAAAAGCCTTTTGTAAATGATTCAAAATAGTGAAAAGAAGAGACATCCTAAAAATGCATTTCGTGAAATTGATCAACTATTTAGGTTTTTGTTTATCACTTTTGTGTCAAATTTAGGGAAAGTTAAATTTAGCTATTTTTGCCTTATTAATACCGTTTATGAACCCGTAATCGAAATCAAAATGTGTAATTGGATTCCGATTACAGGATATACCTCCGTTCACTAAACTTGAAGGAATAAAAAGAAAAGTGGGATCCACACAAAAGGATTTCAATTTCTCATTTTGAAGGAATTGGAGTCCTTGATGGAGGTGGTAATCCAATTCCGGGAGCATGGAGGAATCGGAATCAATTTTTCTTACCCATTATGCCCTTAGATATTTACTATAATTTGACTTTTGCCGACCACTGCTGTATGCAGCTAACAAAATGACCTTTTGCTAGGTTGTATTTCTTGAATTTCATGTGTCTTTAAAAAACATATGGATTAAACCACCATCGGGTGGCCAGTGGTTGGAGGCGAATTGCAGGCCTGTATCTCAAGATGGTGAATCGCAAGATGGTGGCTAGGGGAAGACTAATATGTCTTTGTGAGTCTTCCTGGCCCCCATAAGGGTGGATTGCCATGGCGAAGCCACCAACTGATCCATTAAAAAAAAAACATATAAATAAATAAAAAACAAATAATTAATGTTTATAGGGTAATTACTATTAAGGTTTTATTATGTTCCAAAAAATATCACTAATGATACATTCATTTGAATAAAAAATTATCCAATCATTTAGCATATAAATATGTTATTTAAAATAAGAGTATTTTACTAATCATATTCATTTCTATTTTGATTTAGGTGAATTAGTTAACAACTTATATGAACTCAGTCTTATTCTTACTCGGATTCTAGAACATTTAAGTAAACAGTTTCAAAAGGAATCTGATTTTGACTCCTCCCCATTCCAACTCCTTCTCAATTTAGTTGCTCTTCAATCCAATCCTCCTATTTTGTTTACGATTATGTAAACGAGATCTAATGACAAAGTGTCATATTTACTATCCATATCCACTAATTTGGCTTTGTTTGGTAGGACTATTCTAATTAAAATGGTTTATTGTCATGTCTCGCATATGACACTCCTAATATAGAACGGAACCAAAGTTAAATTTGACAATGCGTCGTGTTATAATCTTACCATGTTTTACCAGTACATAGTAGACCACTTAAAGTTCATGCTCACATTGTGTAAATCTCTTATAAACCTAACCGAACAATACTTGGCCTAAATTCTTAACCTTTCGTACATACTCATGCCATACATGATTTTGTCAAATCTAGCTAGACTGGATTTCATCTCAATCCAATTCTAACCTGCCAAACGAGATCTAAGATACTACTATGTCATCAGCTACATCACTTAATATTATAACTCAATTTGTGTCAAATCAAACTTATCATGTGCCAAAATATCCATAAGCAAAAAAGAACATTTAAAAGTGACTAGTGTCGTCACTTAATATTATGATCTAATAGTTTTTTTGTTTTCTTCTAAGTGAAAGGGCTACAAATACCAATATTTACTATTCCTCCTCCCCTTAGTAAGTATTTGTCGTTATATAAAAAATAAAAATAAAAACAAAAGGACTGATGTCTAGTAAAGGATGGGCCAACTTTTAAACCACGATCCAGCCACATCTCTCATCTCAAGGCATATTTGGAGTTACAACTAAAGGAAACTTAGTTAAAAGTGTTTTTATTATATTTATTTAAAACATTTATAGGAAAATTGAAGTGTTTATGGAAAACACTCACAAGTTTTTTACCATAAAACATTTAGATGTGACGCTTAAATGAGCTAAAACCGTGTCTATGTGTTTTCGTCAAGCACAATCAGAAGCACTTTTCCATGTCGTAAAGTAGTTTTATCCCATTACAAATAAGAGTGGGCACTTGAAATAAAAAACTAAAACACAAACGTAAACCGAATTGCACTAAACAATTTGATTTTTATGGTTGAAGCAGTTTCGATTGAAACCTAACCATAATGCGAAAAAACAATTTGGTTTCAGTTTTGAACAAAAACGCAAAGACACACAAATCAACTCCCCAAAACTCAAAACTTTCTCTAATTTTTCCCAAAACTCAAACTCTCCCTAATTTTTTTCATCATGTCTCATAAATTTTCTATCCATCCAATCACTGGATGAATGTCCTTCACTTCAATCGTATCCACAATTATGCGGATTTATTGTATCGAATTTGGCTAGGGTATTAATTGTATGATTTACTTCTTTTATTCTTTTCTTTTCAAGTTGTAAATAAATTACAACTCTCGTTATTTTTTTCTTTCCAATTTGTGTGGATTTGCTTTTTAAATCCTTCAATTGGATCCAAATCCACAAAGTTTTGTTTAGCTACAAGTTTTATGTTTTACTTTTATTATTCTTTTCTTTTTCCCTCTTTCACCTATGCTACTTTATTTGGTTTAATTTCTTTATTTATTGTATTTGTTTACTTTAATAAAATCTGTGTTGCCTTCACGACGAATATTTCAATTAAATTATGTTTAATTTATTCGTTTTAGTGAAATGCTTTAAAAGCATTCTATTACTTTTCATTAGAATAAGTTTTTTTTTTCTCACATATCACATACTTATGTTTACATAGTATATAATCATTAATCCATAATTCATATGTGTATTGTGGTTTCATATAACATTCCCTAGACAATAATTTTAAATTTTCATATTTTTGAACAACTTTTCATCATTTACATTGAAGGCAATCGATATCGATATTTTCATAAGTTTGCATATCGATATTTTCTTCAATATTAATATTTAAACACTGAACAAATCTCAATAAGGTTTTGGAAAGTTCTCCATTGGTCATTTCTCCAACTCTTTGACTTTTCTCTTAACTCTTTTAGAAAATCGCCCAAATTCCCACACACGTCTCTCGGAATGTCAATCCACCACCTTCTCAATCTAGGGCTCTGCACTTCCATCCAATCAATTGCCACCGCCGGTCAATTCTCCCCTTCCATACAGTGCATTACCACCTCCGGCAAGATCTCGCCTAACTACTTCTTCTCCAACGTGGGCTCTATTGAGAATGCCCAGGACACCAAGGAGGTGTTTGACAAAAATCCTCAAAGGCTGGTTCATAGTAGGATCGACCACACAGATACCCCCAAATGCCCCAAATGCTTACTGGCGGTATAGCAACAATTCTAGTAGCTTTAGGTATATCGATCGATATTTGACGTACTTATTTTTTACATAGTATTTAATCATTAATTCATGATTCATACGTGTGTTGGGGTTTCATATGACATTTCTTAGATGATCGATACAGATATTGGTATCGATATATCCATCGATATTTTCACAAATTTGCATATTGATATTTCTACCGAAACCGATATCTTAAACACTGGGTATATGTATGGTGGTTCTAGGTGCTTTATAACCACAACAGTTTATTCAACCACAACATTATATTCGATTGGTAGAATTGTTTGTTGTACGCCATCATACAAGTTATATGACGGTACACTAAATGGTTTGAATGTTTCAGTTTTTAAATTAACAGATATGAAAGAATAAAAAAAAAGTGGATATCTGATTTGAAGTCGTTTATTTCTCAGCATTTTCTGAGAATAATTTTTCACGTTAATGGCCCAAACGGTCTGTTGCTATTCACATATAGGATCTCAAGCCCACTTTGTAAGTTTTTGGTTGGGAACGAAACGTGGGAGCCATTTAACACAACGACAATACATAGTACGGTCTTACCTACTTTCATAAGACTTGTTACCTTTGTTAAGGATTTTGAAAGAGTAGATGGTCACTGGCACATAAGAACGCAAAATATGTTCCGGACTAGAAGCCAAGTGGTGGTCATTTTTCGAAAGAACAAATGTGATAGCGATGCTATTGATGATCGAGAGGGTTTGGTATGATTTTTTCAAGATATTTTTCATGGCCAGTGCATTTCCCATGTTGTTCATTATGATTCTACATTACTCTATCTGTTAAAGTTTATGTATTTGATT